GCTACTTTTTCTTTTCCACTAAAAGCAACGGACGATTCTACCCTCTTCTCTTCGCTTTTCACACTATTCCACCTCTCACATCCTCAACGAAAAGACAGTTATACCCTTAAGCGAGCTTCCAAGAAAACTCAAGGATTCTCCTTCCCCATTACCTGTACCTTAGTTGGCTTCCATGGATGTTCCTTCTCGGAAATCCCAAATTCTCTTCCTTTATATATAAAAAAATCCACTCTTTCTTCCATATCAACAAAAACCCATCTTCGATCTCTCATCAGTTTCAGATCTTTCTTCAAATCTCTCACCTCTAATGGCGTCTCCTAAATCATCAACAAGACAAACCCAGCAAAACCCAGAACCAAATTTCCACGATTTCTTCCCGACGATGGCCGGAAATCTCGGAGGAGAAGGTCTAATCGATGAGCTATGCAAAGGATTCGAGCTTCTGATGGACAGAGAGAAAGGAGTCATCACTTTCGAGAGCTTACGGAGAAACGCATCGGCGGTTCTTGGGCTCGGAGATCTGACGGACGACGATGTTCGGTGTATGATCAACGAAGGGGATTTGGATCGAGATGGTTGGTTGAATCAGATGGAGTTTTGTGTACTCATGTTTAGGCTTAGCCCTGAATTAATGGAAGCTTCACGGTGTGTTGTTACGGATGCGATCGAGGAGGAATTTGGTGATCGCCTTTGATAGAGAAAATCAAAAAATTTCTTTTATTTTGTCGCACAGACTTTTGACTGATTTGATTATTTTTTAACCAATTCGTATCTTCTTTTTTCGTTTTTGTTGCAGAAATTGTTGGATTATATATAATGAACTGATATGGAAAATCATTGAGATTAAAAATAAAACCAAAGACAAAACATAATTTAATTCTTCCTTCAGCCTTTCCTTTTTTGTAATGTAGTTGAAGCCTTTCACCTACATGTATGGATTTCTCTAAAAATTACCAACAACAATGAGAAATTTCATTTTATAGTTTCAAAAAAAAAGACAATGAGACATCTCTCAATAACATCAACCTACTCAAACATGCACTGTCTAATATATTTGAAAAATTAGAAATGATAAGGATTTAAAAATCTCAACCAAAAATTCGCAGTGTTTTACAATTGGCGGAGAGCGAAGTTTTAACTTGGAAGATGGTTCAAGTCATTATTAGAATTTAGAAGTTAGACAAAAAAATTGCAATGCCCCATTCTTTGAATTCGAATTTTATATGATTTCAGTGATAAATAGATCGCTTTTGGATGGAGACGTACTGTATATTTTTTTAAGGCTTGAGTTGGTTTTTACTTCCAGTAAGATTTGTTAAGGGAGTTATAAATTCACAAAGAAACTTCAACACAGTTAGGCTAAGTACACTGCACTCTGAAAAGAGAGCACATATTTTAAGCCAAGACCCAATATGATCATACAGTGGGGAACAACAATGGATTCATAACATAATCTAACTCGACGGATAATATTGTTTTGATTCAAAACATATGGAGGAATTCGTTTTGATTAAGGACCTATTTATTTGTCTCCCTCCTTTTTTTATCCTAAGTAATTTTACTTAAATATTATCATATATTATCTAAGGTTTACACATATGATAATATTTAGAGTGAATTAGCTAAGTATATATAGAGACTTCTTAAATTAGTAAGATATATAAACCATCTTTTTAAGTAAAATTTGTATTTCTCGTTTGGATTTTTAAACCGTTTAGAGCAATCTATAAAGTTTATAAGATCGATAAATGACTAAATTCATCAAAAATCCAAACTCTAAACACATCATTCATCACTCATAAAAAACACATCACTC